TTTTTTTTTGATGTCACATCGTACTTCAGCTTCTCATCAAACTTTCTGTCCAATCAAATGCTCTCTAGAATCCAAAGCGCCCGCCCCCTACACTCTAAAATAGACACTGAAGCCGCTGCTGAAATCTACGGTGACGCATTGCTGCCACACACATTTTTTTTCCCACTCAATTATGTCATAATAACGAGATGTTTTCTCGTTAAAACCACATCTTTTATCGTCAAAACGAGATGTTTTCTCGTTAAAACAACATCTTTTCTCATTAAAACGACATATTTTTTCTCGTAATAACGACATATGTCATAAAAACGATATGTTTTCCCGTTATTATAGATATATGGTAGGCTATATGTGAGCGAGCTAAGCGACTGTCCGCGCTGCTGTCGCCATATAGTCTGACATAAACGAGTATCTGCAGTTCATTAATTGTAGCAGCATGTTTATTAGGATTAATCTCTCTGCAATCTGTCTACAATATAGTGCTATCCAATAACTGCACTCAGACCCATGACTCGTTTAGGCTATGATCAGATCAAAACAGTTATTTTTGAATAATCGACTCTGGGCTTAATATTTCTTTATTTGAATGACTGAAGTTTGATTTAACAACAAATCGAACTGCGAAAAAAAAAGAAATAAAGAGATTTTCTAATAGGCTAATAATAATAATAATAATAACAATAACTTTATTATTATTATTATTATTATTTCGTTCTGTTTGAAAACGGGCAAACGAAAATTAAGCTAGATTTTTCTTAGGCCTATTTTTGTTCGTGGGTAAACAAATGAGCTTATGCTTCAATATTTGTTTCACATGCGTGGGCAGCTTTGATACTTTAGTCTGATTATATATTAATTATGTATTAGTGATTATATATTATTAAAGGATATCTTTAGCTGAATCAAGCCTCGCATTGCATCGCGTTCTTCTTATGGGAATACAGATGAGCTCAGACGGGAAAGACTGTACAGTAGGCTACCTCTTGTTTGGATTTAGGCTATACGAATTAAATAAACACAAATTTGTTTTCGATTGTTTTAAGTAGACCTTTAGACATAAGGTGCGCCAGAAAGCGCACCCTGTTATTTTACAAAAGTGATTTGTAACGTTTTGTTGTTATTGTGGAAGTATAGAAAATAAAGCAGACATTTCTTTCCTCTGTTATCACAATGTAGCCTCTGTGTGATGGGATAGGCAGTAATGATAGGCAGTTTTTTTTTTCTTACAGCGATGGCGCCACAGACGGCAGCCTCAGTGTTTGGCTCTTCAGTGTTTGTATTGTTTTTGTTAGTTTTTCCTGTTTTTTGTTTCTCAAACACGATCAGTTTTACCAGGGATAAGCTGCTGAACATTCGGCAGAACATGCCACACAATCTTCTACCGGATTTCGTTTATTCGGACGTTTTGCTGAACGTTGTAGTCGGCGGAGCTGCTGCGCTGATCAAGCGCTTCAGGACGCGCAGACGAGGGAAGCGAGCCGGCGCGCTCGTGAAGCTCAGGAAGCGCGGATTCAGAACGCCGTTGCCGATAAGATTTCTCACATGTGTCAGCATTACTCATCAGTATGGAATAATCCTTATGTTAAGGTA